CACACACGCATGTGTAAACAACTTCCCCAACCAGGGGGTGTGATGCAATAGAAATGAGAAAAAGATTCAGGTGGAGGTCTTCGCCCTCCCCCGGTGACCTTAAAAAAAAAATACCCCCATCGATCATTCCATGTACCAAGTCTCACGTAACAACCAGTGAGGGAATCAAGCAAGGGCCGCTAGCTAGCATTCTAGTCGTGGACATGGAGGTGGCTTCCAAGCATAAGCTTTCCACTCCGATGCTCTTGCTTCCATGCGCATCCATCCATTTTCTGCGCACCGCCGGCCGTCCTCGCGTCCGCGTCCAGTCAAAGGCTCTACTCCATTATCACCGTTCGTGTACCTCTGACAGCCATTGTACGCCCAATTATACGTCGGCAATGATAATGGACATAGACAATGCTATAACAATGCCAACCAATCGGGATTTCTCTTTTGCTTTCATAACTTTGTGTGGTTTTTGCAATACGGCCAGGCCACCTAGCTGCCCATTTCTCGTACTATAGAGTCCCATATTTATTGAACGAGGATATGCATGGATTGACCAGTCCGGTTTCCCGTAAAAAATGGTCCGGTAATTAATTCCATCCAATCTGCCACCTTACTTTACTTCCCTTCTATATATACACCCTCCGTGCTCCGACGTGCCGGAACGGCAACCAGTTCGACCGCGCGCGCGTCCCACCTTCCCACGCACCATCGATCGGCTCCGGTTGTGCCGACGACGTTAGGCATGGCCTCCGACGGCGATGGCGTCCACGGCGGAGGAGGAGGCTTCTGCAACAGCGACTTCATGGAGCTGCGGCCGGAGAAGGGCGGGGTGCGCGACCTCCTCCACCTCCTGTGGTCGCCGAACGTCGCGGAGAACGACGCCGTGGACTGCCCCACGGGCACGGAGATCGAATCGGCGCGGCGGCGGTGGGCCGTGTTCGTGTCGCTGGTGGCGCAGATGGTGCTCCTGTGGGCGAAGCGGCCAGTGGCGCTGCTGGGGCGGGCGGCCGAGTACTGGATGAACCTCCTCAACGAGAACGGCGGCGGCGTCCTCCCGCTCCTCGCCAACGCCCTGCATGGTACGTATATCGAGCGTACGTTTGATTTCGCGTACGTTGTTCTTCATCAGTCATCAGCATCGATCGATCGTCCTGTGGAAGGACGGCCGGTGGATCGATCGAACTGTTGTCTCTTGACCTCATGGATTGATTGATTGCATTTATGATGCTTTCGCTTTCAACTAGTTCTCTGGTCCGCTGATTTTGTTCGGAGGATGGACATGAACATTCATTCATTCCAGCAGCCTCGGGCAATCGTACTATGTTGCAATTTTACCTGCAGCGATGGCATCAACCAACCTACCGAACTCAGCATCATTAATCTCTCCGTGCAGATTTATAAGTTCATACTTATTTTAGTAGTGTTTTAGAATGTGTACATACTCAAGTTATATACTCCTACCAAGTACTCCCTTCATTCCGAATTACTTATCGTAGGTATGGATGTATCTAGATGTATTTTAGTTGTAGATACATCCATTTCTGCGACGAGTAATTTGGAACGGAGGGAGTAAAAACGAAGGGAGGATGTTGGATTCCAACTAATGGACGCTGCTAAATATCAACAGCTGATTCTTCAACGAAATTAAGGACGCATATTTTCAGGACCAGTCTTTGACTAGAGACTGCCCACCATAAAATAAAGCAGAAATTAGAAGTCGTTTTCTAAAAACTGATAAAAGGTCGTTTTTCATACTTAAAACTGAATGATAATGTTCTGCTGTAGCAGTCCAGCTTACTATTCAAAATGTTGACGATTGCGTCCTGAAGAGGACAATCCCTAATTGATTGATTGAGCACCAGTTCTGAGAATTATACGTTGTCGCACAATCACAGAGCCAGTTGCGTGTGACAAAATGACAAGTAATACCAACTCTTTGCTGCAGGGAAGGTGAAAATGCCAGACAGAGCGTCCCTGAACTACCGTTCCTGCATCGGGCTGCTCGACACGAGGGTCGAGCTGGACAAGAAGATCAAACCCGGGGACAGCAACTACCACGCCGCGCTGTCGATCATGGCGGCGAAGCTGGCCTACGAGAACGAGCTCGTCATCAGCAGCGTCGTGCAGAACCACTGGCACATGGAGTTCCTGGGCTTCTACAACTGCTGGAACGGTAAGACAACCAACAACTTCGCCATCTTCCGTACGTCGCATGCATGACGATTGACGATGCATGCGTGCATGGCTTAACTAATGGCGTGTCGCGCTCTGGTGCGTGGATCTATATCGTCATTGCAGACTATGAAGAGGACTATACGACGCAGGCGTTCATGCTGGCGGACGCGCCGGCGCCGGACGCGACGCTGGCGGTGGTGGCCTTCTGCGGCACCAAGCCGTTCGACACGGAGCAGTGGTGCACGGACGTGGACTTCTCCTGGTACCAGCTCCCGGGCGCCGGAGCCGGCTGCCGCGTCCACGGCGGCTTCATGAAGGCGCTGGGCCTGCACCGGCGCGGCGGCGGCTGGCCGAGGGACGTCGCCGACCCCACCGGCGCCGGCAACGGCAGGCCGTTCGCCTACTACGCCATCAGGGAGAAGCTCAAACGTTTCCTGGACGGCAACCCGGGCGCCAGGTTCGCGGTCGCCGGGCACAGCCTGGGTGGCGCGCTGGCCGTGCTGTTCCCGACCGTGCTGGCGCTGCACGGGGAGGAGGCCGTGCTGGGGAGGCTGCAGGGCGTGTACACGTTCGGGCAGCCCCGCGTGGGCGACGAGCGGCTCGGGGCCTTCATGGCGCCGCACCTCGAGAACCCCAGCCGGTACTTCAGGTTCGTCTACTGCAACGACATCGTGCCCCGTGTGCCCTACGACGACTCCACGCTCCTCTTCAAGCACTTCGGGACCTGCCTCTACTTCGACAGCTTCTACAGAGGACAGGTCCGTCTAGTCACTCTCACTTTTTTTTAGAAAAAACATACGGCCGACTTTATAAACATACTCACCATGTCACTTCGTTTTTTTAAGGGTCTCTAATTTTTTTCCAAAATCGAATTTTCTTTTTTGCAACAAGGAAATGTAGGAGTATTTTGAACGACCCCCCGAAAAATGCTACTCCTTCCGTCCCATAATATAAGACGTTTTTTAACACTACACTAGTGCAAAAAAACGTCTTACATTACGGGATGGGGTAGTAATACTTAAGATGGATAGATAGACACTAGAAGAATGCATGCGATGCCGTAACAGGATTAAACTTTCAAGGCAAGGCAAGGCAAGCAAAGCATGGCTTGGAAGCAAGAACCTCATCTCATTGCGCTTTTGGAGGAGACACCTGACCTGACAGACGCCTTTGAAAAGCAGGTGACCGTGGAGGAGCCCAACAAGAACTACTTCTCGGTGCTGGCCGTGGCGCCCAAGCTGGTGAACGCGTGGTGGGAGCTCGCCCGGAGCTTCCTCATCGGCTACGCGGAGGGGCCCGAGTACGCCGAGGGGTGGCTGATGCGGCTGGCCAGGGTCGCCGCGCTGGTGATGCCGGGGCTGCCACCGCACGCGCCGCAGGACTACGTCAACGCCACCAGGCTCGGGGCGGCGTCGCTCGGGCCGCTGGAGCTAGCCGAGCAGCCATTGTAACCTTTTTTAGTACTCCCCCCATTTGGAATTCCGACAGTTAATCCCAGACGGAGGTGTAGTTCAGAATCAGATTAAACATCTCTAACTATATGTAGATATCTGAATTGTTCCTGTTCCATCGTTCATTGTTCGAGCAAATGATTCAGTGGACATGCTAATAACAGTTCGTTTCGATGCGTGTGCCCTCTTTATTATCACGTCATATTTTCCAGTGACATATTAATGTCAAGATGACGCCAATTATATCTGGCCCAGCATAGACACAATTGTTAGAAACATCCTTTAGTATTAACATAATAGGATCTTGATCTCCAGATTAGAACACCTCTTATACTAAAAATTTGGGACTGACCTTGACTTGCAGAAATCATTATTGGATAATCCTTGCAGGCTGCCATGAGTCTCCAGAGATGTGGAGTCCTTTCGATGAGAAAAGCAGCAGCAAGGTATATGGCAGCAGGGATGCAGCAGCGCCGCAGTCGAAGAGGAAGCCCATGGATGCCGACAGCACTCCTCTCCTGGTGGCCGCCGGTAGACGTCGGTCTTCCAGCCCCTAGCACAACTTTAGGATCGGGCAGTTTGGTCGATAGCCACGGTTTCTGTTAGCCTCTCTTCCGTGCTATCCTTTTCTTTCTTTATTTTATATCAAGTGTTGGGGCCAGGGACCGGGTCCAAAGTTGTTGGTTTAGAGGCCTCCGATCAAGGCTCCTACATGAAAGGTGTGGGGTGAAAAAACCTCCTGGTTTCTCTCGGGTTGTTACCTGGGATCAAATTCCAACATTCTCCCCCTTGATCGTAAGGTTAACAAACATCATAAACCCACTCGTAACAGAAATAACATACCAAAGTAAGGTGTCACAATGACCTATCAAATGACATTGGACCTCAGTACTTATAGTATATCGTTCTGTCTTGAAATGGAAAACATAATGCTTTATGGGAGTTGGATTATTCAACGGTCCTTATTTCCAGGATCAACAAGACTTTACAACACCCCATGCTAGCAAAATAATCATTCAATTGGGTGGTAAGTCTTTGATAAACAGATCCGTAAAACATTCAGACGTACTCATACGCTCAACTTCAATAGCTTGATCCTGGATTCTATTTTTCACAACACAAAACATATTGTCAATGGTTTTGGCAACGCCATTTGACTTGTTACTCGCATAGAAAACTGCATATTCATATTGCAGTAGGTGGTTTAGAAATGATGTCTACTACCATAACTTCAGGAATAAAACTTAGTTGACATACAACCTGCTCAGCAGCCTCTTAACATGCCACATAATAAATTGCATCATTATTGATGCCATCAGTGTCATTATGGAGCTTTTCCACGATATAGCTCCATATGCGAAGGTGGGGATATAACATAACGTGGAAACTCAATATCCACACACATCGCAAAAACAATGTCTGAATAACCTACGGTATTGAGGTTACCAAACTTCTTATTAGTTAGCATGAAACTTTATTGCCTTGACTTACTGCAAAGACTTTTCGACGGCCTTTCCAATGGTCCATTTCTGGACTTGTACATTTGCCAATCATCCCGATCATAAATAGGGCACATTCATACTTGAATACTTACATTGCTTCTGACAGCTGAAGCATAAGGAACTAACATTATCTGATCAGTTCATAATGGTTCCTTGGACACTAAGATGTCCACTTTTATTGCCCTTGACTTTAGTAGCAGGTGCGATAAGAGTACTACCACATGATATTTTTCTTTCATACTCTATCGACGTATGTCGCCATAATAAAATGTATACCCCTTTTGGACTTATATATTGGTGAAACTCGATACAAACAAAGTATAGGGCATGACCAAGATCCTTTATGTCATAAATAGAAGATAGAAATTCTTGGCCCGCCAAAAATATTCCATCTTCTCAAGGTAGTATACTTACTCCCCCTGGTTTATGGTATGAGTGTCCCGATGCTCTTCTTCTTTCATAATTGAATTTCTTGAGGCAACATACCTTGTGTTAACTTCACCTATATGACAAAACCTTATGGTTAAGTCATACATACATTCTTAACTTAGTCAACCCAAGAGCATGTTATAATAATAACACAAGCATCAAAACAACTCACTGTGGAAACTCTATTGAGTCCCATACATCATTAGAGCTCATTATCACACAAGCCTCTAAGATGAACATTCACACACATTTTGAATCACACGGAAATTGTTAAGTCTCAACATTAAGTGTTGCAAATATGCATTTCTTCTCAACTCACCTGATGCATATGAACAAAGATCTAATGGATTTATCCTTAAGATTCATGTTCATACGCTCCAGTTCTCTAATGGCCACTTTATTTGAAAAATGGAAAACATATCCAATATCTTGATAAAAATCATTTCTGTTCTAAACCACAACACCGTTGGGCTGAAGATGGAAAAGAACTTAATGGATTGTGACAAATGATTATAAACAAGATAGTCAGAAATATAACCATGAGCCACATGATACTGACAAACTTGCCACTTGAGTGAAGTGTGACATATGATTATAAATGACGTTGGTCATATATATAATCGACATGTTACATCATGATGGTCATTAGGCTAGCAAGCTTCACTTTAGCATTCATGTGTGCTTCATAATGCTCATAAGGGATTAAGTACACATTATATATAACATGATAAAAGGAGTAATATTTATTCATTCTTCTAAACAAGACTTGTTGCATCTTAATTAGAGAACCGACATTAGTATGTGCTTTTTCATACATTCTCCACCCAAGACTTCTCGTTGGTTCCATCTTTAATTAGAGAATTAACATACACATTTGGATCTAAGTAGGAGAAGTGAACATGATATCTCATATTAAATGACACTTCCATTCTCCCCCTTGAAATGTGGTCTAATTAAAACCACAATTTCGATGAGGTATCATTATTTACACTTCTCTTACATCTTTAATTGTAGCGTAACACATAATCTTTACAAATGATCCATTCAAAAAAAACATACTTGTCTCACCCCAGGGTGGGACTGACATTACATAATTAGAGCTGACTTGATAACATACAAAATCATGTCATCCGTTCGAGAGACAAAAGATAAGTTTCTCCAATAACTAGGAGCATGAACAAACATCATCAATTAGATGGAGAATTAAGTATCTCCAAATCCTAGTGAAATAATCCAATAGTTTTGACTTTAAACTCCATTGGATTAGTAATGTGCATGATAGCACATGCATCCTAAGACCTCTCCCAATGTCTGCCTTATAATCATCATTAACATCCTTCAACCTTATGTTGGGGAATGTAACAATAATTCAAAATTTTTCTACGTGTCACCAAGATCAATCTAGGAGATACTAGCAACGAGAGAGAGGGAGTACATCTTCATACCCTTGAAGATCGCTAAGCGGAAGCGTTACAAGAACGCGGTTGATGGAGTCATACTCGCGGCGATACAAATCGCGGAAGATCCGATTTAGCGCCGAACGGACGGCGCCTCCGCGTTCAACACACGTACAGCCCGGGGACGTCTCCTCCTTCTTGATCGAGCAAGGGGAGAGGAGAAGTTGAGAGAGAACTCCAGCAGCACGACGGCGTGGTGGTGGAGCTTGTGGTATTCCCGCAGGGCTTCGCCAAGCTCTACGGAGGAGAAGGAAGAGTTGGAGGAGGGAGGGGCTGCGCCAGGGAAGGGGTGTCGCTGCCCTCCCACCCCTCCACTATATATAGGGGCAAGGGGAGAGGGGGAGGCGCCCTAGGGTTTCTCCTAGGGGGCGGCGGCCAAGAAGATTGGATTTTCCTAGGGAAAATCCTAGGGAGACTTGCCCCCCAAGCCAAGAAGGTGGAGGCTTGCCTCCCAAGCCAGGTGGAGGCGCCCCACCCCCCCAAGTAACATGGGAAAGGGTGTGGGGGCGCACCACCCCTTAGTGTGCTGGTTTGCCCCTTCCCCTTTGGCCCATGAGGCCCTCCAACACTTGCCAGGGCTCCCGAAACACCTTCCGGTCATGCTGGCCATAGCCTGGTACCCCTAGAACACTTCCAGACTCCAATTCCCTTCGTCCAATATATCAATCTTCACCGCCGGACTATTTCGGAACTCCTCGTGATGTCCGGGATCTCATCCGGGACTCCGAACTACCTTCGGTAACCACATACTATTTCCCATAACAACTCTAGCGTCGCCGAACCTTAAGTGTGTAGACCCTACGGGTTTGGGAATCATGCAGACATGACCGAGACACCTCTCGAAATAATAACCAATAGCGGGATCTGGATACCCATATTGGCTCCCACATGTTCCACGATGATCTCATCGGATGAACCACGATGTCGGGGATTTGATCAATCCCGTATTCAATTCCCTTTGTCAATCGGTATGTTACTTGCCCGAGATTCGATCGTCGGTATCCCAATACCTTGTTCAATCTCGTTACCAGCAAGTCACTTTACTCGTTCGGTAACGCATGATCCCGTGACTAACTGCTTAGTCACATTGAGCTCATTATGATGATGCATTACCGAGTGGGCCCAGAGATACCTCTCCGTCATACAGAGTGACAAATCCCAGTCTCGATTCATGCCAACCCAACAGACACTTTCGGAGATACCTGTAGTGCACCTTTATAGTCACCTAGTTACGTTGTGACGTTTGATACACCCAAAGCACTCCTACGGTATCCGGAAGTTGCACAATCTCATGGTCTAAGGAAATGATACTTGACATTAGAAAAGCTCTAGCAAACGAACTACACGATCTTGTGCTATGCTTAGGATTGGGTCTTGTCCATCACATGATTCTCCTAATGATGTGATCCCGTTATCAATGACATCTAGTGTCCATGGTCAGGAAACCATAACCATCTATTGATCAACGAGCTAGTCAAGTAGAGGTTCACTAGGGACATGTTGTGGTCTATGTATTCACACATGTATTACGGTTTCCAGTTAATACAATTATAGCATGAACAATAGACAATTATCATGAACAAGGAAATACAATAATAACCATTTTATTATT